TCTGTTGGCATGGTATATCTTTTTCCAGCCTTTCACTTTCAGTCTGCATGCATCTTTGTTGGAGAGATGTGTTTCTTGTAAGCAGCAAATAGATGGGTTTTGTTCCTTAAGCCAGTCAGCCAATCTGTGCCTTTTAATTGGAGAGTTGAGAGCATTAACGTTCAATGTGACTATTGATAAGTAGTAACTTTGCCCTGCCATTTTCCCTAAGTTATTTTCTAATATCTGCTTTGAACTTCCTGTGATCTTTTGCTGCGAGGTTTTCTTCCTTTACCTTCTTTCATATTGATGACTGTGTTTCTGTGTTTCTGTGTGTAACACATCTTTAAGCATCTTTTGCATGGTTGGACAAGTGGCAACAAATTCTTTCAATTTCTTTTTTCTATGAAAGGTCTTTATTTCACCTTCATTCACAAATGAGAGCTTTGAAGGATATAATACTCTGGGCTGGCAGTTTTTCTCTCTTAGTACCTGGGCTATGTCTCACCATTCCCTCCTAGCTTCTAGGGTTTCTGATGAGAAGTCAGCTGTGAGTCTAATTGGAGATCATCTGAGGGTAATCTGATGTTTCTCTCTTGCACATTTTAGAATCTTTTCTTTATGTTTCACTGTGTTGATTTTGATTACAACGTGTCATGGTGAGGATCTCTTTTGGTCATGTTTACTAGGGGTTCTATGAGCTTCCTGTACTAGGATATGTCTCTGTTCTACTCCATACCCGGGAAATTCTCTGCTAGTATCTCACTAAAAAGGCCTCCTAATCCTGTCTGTCTCCTCATGCCTTCAGGAACTCCTAGAACTTGAATGCTTGGTTTATTAATAGTATCCTGTAGATACCCAACAATATTTTTTAGATTTCTAATTTCCTCTTCTTTTCTTTGGTTTGACTGTATACTTTCCTGTGCTCTGTCTTCTAAGTCTCTCTCTAAATCTCTCTTCTGCTTCACTGACTCTGTTTTCAAGGCTCTCTAATGTGTTTGTCATTTGATTTATTGAGTTCTTCATTTCATTTTGATTTCTCTTCACTATCACACTTTCCTGTTCTACTAGTTTCTGTGTTTCATTTTGATTCCTCATTAAGATTTCATTTTCACAAGAGAGATTTTCTATCCTGTCCAGTAAAGATTTCCGTAGCTCAAGCTTTTGTTTTTGAAAACTTCTAAATGTTCTTATCATAAATTTTTTGAAATCCATGTCTTGCATTTCTTCTATCTCATTATCTTCATAATCTTGGCTTGGAGTGTCTTGTTCATTTGTGGACGTCATAATGTCTTGTTTCTTCTTGTTTCCTCAGTTTCTGTGTTTGTTGCTTGGCATTGTGGAGATATTCTTTGGATTCTTCTTCCCTCACTGTGGTGTTTTTTTCTTGTTATACTATGACTGTATTAAGTGGATTGTCTGCTTTTGAAGAAGCCTTAGAGGCTTGAGATGGGTGTGGCCAGAGAGCTCTGTTTGGTTCTTCAGGGTTAAGGGTGTGCCAATGGTGACACACTCAGCTTAGGCATGGTAAATCTCTCTCTCTCTCTTTTTGTTGATTCAGAAGGGAAGTAATTCCGCACAGCTGAGAGGAATTGAAGGTAGTCAGCTCCAGATCTCTGGCTCCTGTGGGTATAACATTCATCTGCTCTTTCCCAAGGACCACACAAAGAATCTGTCCTGCCCTCAGTGTGGGCTCAAATTCCCCTGCAGTCTCCCGCTGGGTTGCCAAGGTTACCAAATTGTAGTGTCTCTGGAGAGTACTCACGTGAACTCCATGTATTCTATCACCCACCTTCTTTTTTCTCACAGTCTCAGTTCATTAGCTCCACACATTCACTAGGTCCTTACCTATTATTTCACCCCCCAGAGTCAGGTTTTTCTGCTTGACTGAGGGCAGGCTCAGCCCTGGGGTTGCACAGCTTTTACGTATGTCCAAAATGGCGCCTGCTCTTTGTCTTGCTCGCCTTTGAGAGGTGAGCCGAGAGAGAGAGACTCCTGTCTGTACCGGTCCTTTTTTTTTTCCTCTCTCATCTAGTTAGCCTGGTGAGCTTTCCCTAGTGGGGCTTCAAGCCTCGTTCCCTCTAGGCTCCTTCTGCCATACCCCGCCAATGTCTCGGGTTACTGAGGGTTTACCTCACCTCCCCTTCAAGCACAGATGCATAGACTCCACGGCTGGGCTCCCAAGCCGTGGGTGTCCTTGCTCTCCCCGTAGGTCCTCCATGTCACATCCACTAGATCTGGAAGAGTTTCCTCTGCAATTTTTTTCCCGAGCCTTTCCCTGGAACTACAGCAACTCCACTTTTATTAAACTATCTTTTCCTGGACTATCAGTGCATGTCCTCACTATTCCACCATTTTGGCTCCACCCCCCTCATTTATTCTTGCTCTGATCTTTGGTTATTTCTTTTCTTCTGCTAATTTTGGATTGTTTTTTCTTGCTTTTCTAGGTCCTTGAGATGGATAGTTAAGTTCTTTTTCTTCTTTTTTTCACTCTTACTTTTCATGTAGGCAATTACTGTTACACATTCCTATTTTAGTACAGTTTTTGTTCTATCTTATCCACACCTTGTTCTTCTTATATCCAATTATCTCCTGCTCATTCTAATTCAGTTCCAGAGTATGATGGAGTGCTATAGGCTGTAAAAAATAAGAGTTTCCTTAATGTTACTTAAATTTCTGAGGCTGTCTTAGTCCATGACAGCCTAACCCCATTTCAGTAAGATTTCAGCTTACTATAGGATTTCATTTAGTGATAGGTTCTGTTCTTTTCCCTTATCTGGGACTCTCTTCCTGTGACATCTATTGCTTTCTTTTGATTGCGGCTGCATACTAGCTTAATAACCACTTGGTTTGTTCTTTTTATCATCATACATTTTATTATTCATGTTAATATTATCCATCAGTGGTTAAAATCCAAGTTGGCAAAATAAGACCACTCTTACCTGTTCTTGTTATTTTTCTACTCCAGAACCACATTGATCCCTACCTTCAGGATCCAAATGGACTTTTCCATAATCTGACAAGATGTGTAAGTCTGACACACCAGTGCCCTCCTAAAGCCGGCTCCAGGGCTAGGAAACTTTTAACAGGCCTGTGTTGGATGGGTTACAAAATAGTTTGGACATTCATCCTGAGAACAAATTTTTTTCAGGACGTGCTTTTGGGTTTTGACTCCTTCATATTCCACCTGTTCTAAGGTTCAGCCCTTTCCAATAACTCCCTTGTCTCCCTGCTTGAGCACCTGCTTTATGGACCATTCTCTTTCCCCGTTTCTTCTCAAACTTTCACTTTTGTTTGTAATTCAGCTGGACACTTTTGTTCATGATGATCTTCTCTAGACTGTGTAAGCAAATGTCAATGCTTTTCCTGAGTTCACATTCTGTTTTGTATATATCTCTATCTCTGGGATGGTTGAAATGTGTCTTTTGTTTATGTTTTCATATCACTTCTAAACAATATTATTGACTCCAAGGTCATGTGTTTTCATGTACATTTATTCCAACTTGTTAGTACTTTTCATTGATATTCATATTTCATTGGTATTGATATTATTATATAAACAAAGAAAGCCTATCAGGGAGGGTATATAAAATTTTAAAAGCTGGCTAACAGGAATAGATTGGGGTTGATGAATATAGTATATTTTGTGCTTAATTCAGGGAAATATTTAACAAGGGGAATACAGATGAGGTTAATTCACATTCCCAATAAGGTCAACAGCAAAAGCAAAACACAGAGAAATTAAGAAATACATTGGTGATTGGAGAACAATATTAGTATAGTAAATGGATAATATAGAAAGAAGAATCCTATAGCTTTTACTCCTTTATGTGTGAGTAGTTTTGACCTATGCTTCTGAACCCAGTAAACCAAAGTTTATTTTCACACAGTAACCTTGAGTTTGTAACAATTGATAGCTTGTTCTTGTTTGAGCTTGGTTCCAACTCCAAACAATATCACCATCTGTGTCCCAGAAAGATAGAAATCCATGCCAAATGCTCACTAATCTTCTGCAACACATACCTTGTTCTCTCAAAGGTCAACTGACGGCTGCTTCAGCCTCCTGCTTTGTTACCTCTTAAAGCATGTAATTCTCTTTGAAATAAGGTTCATGAAGTAAAGAAATGCATTTAGTGAACAAGGTGCTATAGCCCCACTTGATTTTTCAGTGAAATCATCTGACCCTAGAAATTTCCCTCCTAGGAGCTTCTAAGTTCAAAGTCATTCTTAGCTGTAGAATGATTCAAATAATCTATTTCAATATCTTAGAAGCATCAATGGCTCATGCCATTTCAACATCTGACCAGATCTATCCTACGACTACTGACAAAATTTTCCTTTTTGAGATTTTTTGTGCAATTTCTCATATTTAAAATGGGCCCACTTCACACTGCTGTTATCATCTAAAGAAAATTTATGCTAAGATTTATTACGTTGGCCTTTAATTGCTATAGAAAGCTACTTGAAGCAGGATTATTTAGAGAAAAGAGGATTATTTTGGCTCACAGTTTTGGTTCCTGAGCATCCAAACCACACAGCTCATATCTAGATTTGAGCAAGTGTGTACCTCTGTTCTCTCTCCCCCTATTCTTAGAGGATACAGTTACAGATGATACATTCTAATGGCCTTGTTTAAGTCTGCCCTACCTCTAAACACTATTGTTAGATTAATTTTTATCATCTTAATGCCATTAGCATAGATTTTTCAGGGTTAAATTCTTGTATGAGGTGAAAGGAAAAGATCATACTGAAAACACAGCGCTTATCAATGGTAAATCTCTCTAACAGAATGATAGTCATAAAAAGTTGCCAAAGTAATAAGTTTGTTTTCTTAAGGGCTGTGTTTGAAAATTCTATCTCCTTTTTGGTTTCTAATAAAAAATAAAGGGAGAAGATGAAAAGAAACAGAACTGGATTCCTTTTTTGTTTGAAATTTGATAGATTTGGTGTAGTCATTTATCTGGACTGAGTGTAGCTCAAGTCAGTTATTAAAACAGTAAAAAACACTGCATTGGAACATCTTTGTGGTTGCTCAGATTAGTTTTTTATTCTAAAAGCTGATTTTTAACAAATGCCATAGGAAAAATGTAGATGCCAAGCTTTAAGTTCATTCTTTAGACAGGTGGAAATCATGTAGTAGGAATGCAAGGATGTTACAGTCTTTTCTCCTTTAGTGTGTTTCTGGACACGAAATTCTCCATTTTAATCCATGTGGTGGTGGTATAAGTCCTATTGTTATATAACTTTCAACATCTTCAGTTTGACTCAATTCATTACATTTAAAGTGCAAAATTTCTATCAAAGTCCAGAGGTCATCATGGACTAGAATGCTATGGAAAATCATCGTATGATAAGAGATTTCTGTGAAGATTGAGGAGAAAAAAGATGCAAAGCTGTTGGGTATCAAATTCATAACTAACATAGCTACAATTTCCCCTGGCCGGTGTCAAGTAAGTAATGCAACCCTTCTCCACATTGTTCTGCAGAAGACACACAAGCCATTTTAGAAAATTTTGTCTTCACATAAGCAAGTAGCTTTGCATTTCTCCTTGAGTAATTCATGTTCACAGCCAGCTGTATTCTTCAAGGAGCCACAGTTACTAAGGAGATCTTCAAACTCGCAGCTATTGGCTGTAACAAAAACAGGAAAGTTAGATCCTGGTTAATTTCCTTGGTAGAAGCAAAACAATCCATACATTTAAAGTGATTGAAGAAAAGGCTATAAACGAATAACAAGGTAGCATTACTCACACTGTGATAGGGCTCTATGACTTGAGGAAAAAATGAAGTATTTTGGTTGTGCTCAGTGATTATTCTGTCACTTTATTTCAAATTCGTGGTATGTTTCTAAAATGAATTGGCTCATTTTTCTTATTCAGCAATGAGAATAATTAAATCTCTTTATATCCTCAGAGTCCCCTATGGGGGCCAATAGTCACAGGCAGCTATTAATACTAAGTGAAACATTGTTTCTTAATCTTACTACCCACATGTCAAAGTATTCAGAGACCTCACATGCTCCTAGGTTAAACTAACAAGACACACATGCATAAATAACATTTACATCATCTCACACAATTGGACTGCATGGGTTTTACACTTCAACACTTTCCTTCTGGAGTAAGTTGTCTTTAAGATGGATACAGATGTAAAAAAGTGCAAACATGTCTATTTCCCCCTCAATGTTTCCAGTTGGATTCTCACTAAGGGCCCCAATTCAACAAGTCTAAAACTGAACTCATCATACTGCATATAAGAGTGACAATTCTTTTTTTTTTTTTTTTTTTTGACAGGCAGAGTGGACAGTGAGAGAAAGAGAGAGACAGAGAAAAAGGGTCTTCCTTTTCCGTTGGTTCACCCCTCAAAGGCCACTCCGGCCAGCGCACTGCCGGAATCAAGGAGCCAGGTGCTTCTCCTGGTCTCCCATGCAGGTGCAGGACCCAGGGACTTGGGCCATCCTCCACTGCACTCCTGGGCCACAGCAGAGAGCTGGACTGGAAGAGGAGTGACCGGGACAGAATCCGGCACCCCAACCGGGACTAGAACCCCGTGTTCTGGCGCCGCAGGCAGAGGATTAGCCTATTGAGCCGCTGCGCCGGCCAAAAGAGTAACAATTCTTGGGGCAACCCCCTTGAAACCTTCCCACATACAAGTGCAATGGTGCTCCAACTAAAAAATCTAAGGCAGAAACAGGAATTTTTTGAACTCCTCTTTTCTTTTGATTAGCACTCAACCAGCATAGGTAACAAATCAAATATTGTTTTTGTTATTTATTTTGATATTACTATGGTAATAACATCCTTTTTTACAAAATCTACATATTTCAAGTTTCCTAGCTGAAGGTCAGGCAATTGTTTCTGCATGCTACTGCTAGAAAGCTCTTCAAATAACATGATTCTAACTTAGCCACATTTTGCTCAAGAAGTTCTTACTCTAGGCAAGTAGTGTTCAGCAGTGTTATACATATTATCTTTCTTTTATACTCATTTAATAGTGTTGATATTTTCAATATTCTGAATTACAGTTGGGTCAGAAAGAATGCTATTCAATAGTGAATACATTTAAAAGGTAAAATTTCTCAGCGAATCAACTCTACCATCCATAATAATTAAAATGTATCCAACATGTTACTTGATGGTAAGTACTCCATTATGTTGTATGTAGTAATTACAAATGCAGTGTAGACCACTGCAGTGTATAAAATATTTAACACACTGATGAGCTTTTCCTTTTCGCATTAACACATTCTTTTTATTGCTTACTTTAGGGAATTTATTAATAAAAGAAAATGAATTAAGAATTGTTTAAAATAATAGCAAGTTAATTACTTCAAACTTACTACAAAGGCCGTTCTCACAGTGACCAGGGCAACTGGCACAAGGTATTCCTTGTTGGTAAGGAGTATTCTTTCTATTCACATTATTCCCTCTGAAATTTGAAATTTACAATATCAAATATTTTTACTTTGTTGTTGAGCTTACATTGTAAAGGCAGTATCAGCCACCATATATATACATAAATAATCATTCATATTTGGGGTTATATAACAAATCTGAAAAATTATAATTTTCAAGTATAACTCAGATAATAATTCAAGTTAATAACACGCTTCCCACATTGACCCCTATCTTTGACCATTATTACACAGGATGACCAACAAAATTGAGATCACTAGATTCTAGGATTGTCAGAGCATATTTCAACTAATTACACCATCTTCATCTTCCAGTAGACCAGGTCAAATTGCTGAGACAGGAAAGGTGATGGTCCTGGGGCCAAGGGGTCCCAGTAGGGAAAAGAATATTCTAAACGGATGCAGTTGGAGACCTTTTTGCTTAGTGAAATAAACCATTCCCAAAAAGAAAAGTATCATGTTTTCACTGATTTGTGATATATATGAGTACAAAAAATGTAATGAATATGAGTGAAATTGACATTTTGATATTTGATTATTGTCTATAGACTATCTATATTCCTGAGGAACTGCAGTTTTTCTACTTTATACTTGTTGAATTCTTTATTTAGTGGAGGATTAAACTTACTATTATAAAGTAAATTGAAAGCATGTCATTCCAAATATAATAAGAAAAATAAGAAAGAAGGAGGAGAGGGGGTGTGAGCCAGGTGAGAAGAAATGGTGGGGTAGGAAGTAGTATCATTATGTTCTTAAAACTGTTTATATGAAATACATGAATTTTTTACCTTTATATAAAAAATGGATATAGTTAAGAATATTCAATGCTTTTAGTAGTACCATCTTGTATTTGAAAAATGAAAAAGCACCCTAATTTCTCAAAACTGGAGAAAATGATGTCCTGGTATTTTTTTTTTTTTTGCTTTGTTTTGTTTTAATTCTAGATAGAGGTAGTTACTTTACGTTGTTAGTGGTGTGTTTGTTTAGTGACATGTAATGGGAAGGTGAGAGTAAGAATTTTATGCTTACACAAAATGAATTAGTTCAAAAACAAATTTGATAAACATCAGTATCCAGGGTGTAGTCACTTTATACTCACTAGCCTGCAATTCATTGATGATAATTATCTTAATTAATTTGTAACAACATAAGAGTGCAAATCTCAAAACTGAGTTGGGACATGAGTCCAAGGCAACACTATTGAAACTCCATCTCCCTTGCATAATACATATTCTGTGTACAGGCACTTTAAAAAATGTGAAATAGATATAGAAGTGTTCACAAGTGTTCACCCCCTTGCTTCCTCTCATTACTCACTCCAACCTTTACTTTAAGCATCTGGCTCCAGATGCCTCACTCTGGGAACCCAGAAGTGAGTTTGGATGCATTCTCCTGAGGACTTGATCCTCTCTACTGATCTTTAGGATCTGCTCACTGTAAAATGTCTTTGAATGTGACATTTCTCCAGCTGTAACCCAACATCAGCAGGTTTATCCAGAGTCTCAAAACAAATACTATAGGAGGTTTTTATGGGGAACCCCTGCTTGCAGTGGTAAAGAATGTCAAACATGAAGAAAATCAAAGCAGATAACTTGTGAATATTTATTAAATATTTGTATATTCATAGAATTTAAATGAAGACCTCAAAATGTGGTTAAGGAATTTTCTGCAAAATTCTAATCAAAGACTTAATATATTACCTTTTCAGGATTCTGAAATACATTAGAAGTCTCCTGAAAATATTTTTGAGTCCCCAAATAATGACTTATTTGTAAGGATAATAATATACAAACGTTTTCTTTTTAGATAAAGAAGAATAGTACCAATTGAGCTGAAAGAGCTAAAATCACATTATTTCAACTGAATTTGCTAATCCATCAACACATCTAGCTTAACCATCAAGTTTCTACACTCTTAGAGTGTGTAATCAACAAGAACAATGATAGCAAATTTGGAGAAATGCATACTACATATGTTTAAGGACTAACCGTGAGCCTTGGGGAAGACAACAGACAGAAAAGATAACATTTTTTTTCAAAAATTTATTTATTTATTTATTTATTAAACTTTTATTTAATAAATTTCGAAAGTACAACTTTTGGATTATAGTGGTTGTTCCCCCCATAACCACTCTCACACCCGCAAACCATCCCATCTCCTACTCCCTCTTCCATCCCATTCTTCATTAAGATTAATTTTAAATTATCTTTATATACAGAAGATCAACTTAGTGTACACTACATAAAGATTTTAACAGACTGCACCCACACAGACACACAAAGTATAAAGTACTGTTTGAAGATTAGGTTTACCATTAATTTTCATAGTACAACTCATTAAGGACAGAGATCTTACATGGGGAATATGTGCACAGTGACTCTCGTTGTTGATTCAACAACTGACACTCTTATTTATGATGTCAGTAATCACCCGAGGCAAAAAAAAAAAAAAAAAGATAACATTTTATAACTCAGGAACAAGTGCTTCTGATTCTCTGACAGTACTTTGATCTTGAAGACATTTTGAAAAATGTATTCTCTCTTTACACTGAAATATACTTTTTATTCTACTTTACAGAAATTTTGTTTACTGAATTTATCAAATGTTATATTAATAACATGTCCCAATTATTTTGAGATATTGGATGTGAATCATTTCTTCTGATCACAGGTACGTCTTTCTTATATATTTAATTCTGATGTATTTAAGATTTTTGATGATAGACAAAACATTTGAAATATAAAATTGAATATGGGATTATCTGCACTAAACTTTAAACTGCACACTTACGCAGGGCAATATTGGCAAACGTAGTAATATCTGAGGTTATCTTGATTAGGACAGAAGGCAATTCCACATCCAACACGGTAAGATGAGTACCAAACAAGCTAAAAATCCACAAAGCAAGAAATATATTAGAATATATTACAGGGAAAATATTAAAAGACAAATGATAACAAATATAGATGGAAGAAATGTTACTGCTGTATTTTGTAGTCATATACCTTAAGAAAATAAAATGTTTGATCAATGTCATAAAATTCTAACATTAAATTTTCATGGACATTCACCATTTTACCCATTTATAATATAAACACTATAGAGCATGCTTTCTGAGGAGTTTTTCAGACTTGAAGTAAAATGACAGCTCTAGATGAAGCATCAGCCAAATGTCAAGAGTATAGCACATCTACTCAGGTTGTTCCCTCAAAGTGAACATGTAAACTGGTAGCAATTTGGGGAAGCTTTCTCTGGGGAAGCTTTCTCTGTTAGAGCACTTGCGGTAGAGATGCTTTCAAATATTCCTCTTACCTGAGTATAATGTCCAACAATTGCATGGGGACTCTTGGGTCCTACACCATAGGTAAAATACTGGCTCTCATCAAACCAGTTTTGGATTGCATCTGACCAGGAAGTAGGGTCACTAGACATGTAGAGATTCTCACCACATTTTGTACCTAAGAAAAACCAGATTGTTCATGAGGAAAGTAAAAAAATCATTCAATGGAAATAAAAAAAATTACAACATAAGCATAAATATGCTTCATTCAAACGTAGGAACTGAAGTTGCAAACTGTTGAAAATACACAAGAAGAATGCCTTTTTTTTTTAAATCAGCAATAAAACTGATTAGAAGGCAAAACTGCCTCAAACATGGTAGCTGATCTGGATATGCATAACTTTATTGAGAGGATTTCATTCATTAAAAATATTTTTCCTTCCAGATGGTCAAACATGTATTTACTTACATGCTAAAATTTTCTTGTGTGTAAATGCTCCCCATTCTTGAATTGTACTATGAGCTTCTGGAACACAGCTACCAACTCTTATACTGTCTCCACTGCTGTGCCACCCTCACCAAAGAGTATTCATATCTATACAGGAGCCTGAATAAATGTTTATATACTTTTGTGAAATTTGAAGAAAGTGTTTATAATCAGTCTTTAAGAGGCCCAATCAAGGGACAACTGATGTCAGGGGGAACAATAGCTTTCTTTTATTTTTTTAAAGATTTATTAATTTATTTGAAAGTAAGAGTTACACAGAGAGAGAGAGGAGTGGCAGAGAGAGAGAGAGAGAGAGAGAGAGATCTTCCATCCACTGGTTCGCCCCCTAGATGGCTGCAATGGCCGGATCTGTGCCGATCCAAAGGCAGGAGCCAGGAGCTTCTTCCAGGTCTTCCACGTGGGTGCAGGAGCCCAAGGACTTGGGCTATCTTGTACTACTTTCCCAGGCCATAGCAGAGAGCTGGATCAAAAGTGGAGCAGCTGGGATTCGAACCAGTGCCCATATGGGATGCAGGCACTGCAGGTGGCGGTTTTACGCACTATGCCATAGCGCCAGCCCCACAATAGCTTTCAAAACTTGTAAATCATCCCTTAATCAGGAAATCAAAATATTACAAGACCAAATCCTCCTCAGAGAGTTCCACATGTGCATGATAGCCCAGAAATATTTCTCTGTTTTTTGCAATCCACCAATATATATTCATATATATATATTTATTTTATATTTACAGCATGTATCATATATAATATATGTGCTTTTGTAATTCAAACTCTACAGGCTGTTTACAGAGATTTTAAAATATTCTTGGGATTCTTTGTAAAGAGAAGAAGCGAAATTAAGAGTCTAACCAGAGACTTGTAACTTAAGACCATTTGTCTCAGTTTTTTACTGAATGCAGTCATCTTTCTTCATAATTTTATTATTATCATAGCAGCAACAATATAAATAATAATAGTTCACTTGAAACAACAGGCAAATTACCCACTGATTTCAAATTAGGCTTGCCTACGTGGATCCCAATCTTGATAGTGTATGTATTTTTCATAAAGTTAATGAGCACATGTTTCTATCTCTTTTTTTTTTATAATACTTGATATGTATTATTGACTTTTTTCAGTCTAAATAATATTCTGTACATTGGTGGCACTCAGTACATACAAAATACTTGATTACTTGGTTTAAAAAATTAATGATCATACTCAAAATATTAATTTTATGTGAATTTTAATATGATGTATTTTAGTATGATTAAATAGTAAAAAATGTTTAATATTTTTAGAACAATACTAGGGACAATCAACATAATTTAATGTATTTATGAAGACAAAATCAGATTTCAAAACATTGAACAATTATTTATTATAAAAAGAACAGTGATTTAGAAATTAAAAATTTTCTGGTATGACACCTTTTCAGATTGTGTTCTGGGTTTGTCACTTAACTTTATAAACACAATTTTCTAACCTTTAAAATTGCAAAATAAAAAAAAAACACACACAGATGACACGTGACTTACTCTGAGCTAGTTGAGAGGAACAAATAATATGTAAGAAATTATTTGCATAATGTAAGCAATAAAGAAGTCCAAAATTGTTCATATCTTCACTATCTCTGCATCTCATACAGTTTTGAAGAGAGATTACTGTATAAGCAATCTATATTCACAAAATCTTTTTAATGTAATATCCCACCAAGGTCCACTTTTGTTTTATCTGTTAATAATTCAACAAATATTTCTAATTTACTTACTGGTTTTTCGGTCCTCTGGGTCACTGTGCTCTAAAGTGCACTTATTTGCCCACTTTTGAGCATTTACTGTTGCGTCTCTGCTCCATTCCTAAATATCATAGGAAAAAAAATACACAGATTCACCACAATGAGGCACATGGCTTATAATCTGATTGGTAGATTGATTATATCTTAAAACTTCCATATTATCTAATTATCACTGCTATTATATATTTTTTTTGTATTTTAGGTGTTAGTGTTTCTCTGTCTGCCACAGCACCAGTTTCCACAGGAATTGAAGTCCATAGATGGTGAATCTAAGGAGTGAAATATCTAGAACCATGTTATTTAAGAGAGCTAACCAGCCACAGCTAGGATTTTAGGCAGTGTGATAACCTAAACATGGATACATATGTGAAAAATTCTAATTATATTTCTTTTTTTTTTTTTTTTTATTTTTGACAGGCAGAGTGGACAGTGAGAGAGAGAGACAGAGAGAAAGGTCTTCCTTTTGCCGTTGGTTCACCCTCCAATGGCCGCCGCGGCCGGCGCGCTGCGGCCGGCGCAGCGCGCTGATCCGATGGCAGGAGCCAGGAGCCAGGTGCTTTTCCTGGTCTCCCATGGGGTGCAGGGCCCAAGCACCTGGGCCATCCTCCACTGCACTCCCGGGCCACAGCAGAGGGCTGGCCTGGAAGAGGGGCAACCGGGACAGAATCCGGCGCCCCGACCGGGACTAGAACCCGGTGTGCCGGCGCCGCTAGGCGGAGGATTAGCCTAGTGAGCCGCGGCGCCGGCGAAAAATTCTAATTATATTTCAATACTTGTATCCTGGCCTGGGTCATTCCCAACTTATTTTGTATACCACTGCATTTATATGGGAGATACCAACTTTCAGGGACTGTGACCTGGGAAGTTAACTTTTATTTATATAAAATGCCACTGATCTCGAAGAGTGAAACAAAAAGGTAAGGGAGATTTTTTTGAGATGAGAGTAGGAAAGAAAGTGAACAGAAAACGGGCTGGCTTTTTTAAACCACAAAAACCTGAAAAGAGGTGATTCCCCACTGCCTGCCCCTTTCACTGCTGGTACACTGGTTCACAGCACTACCCATCCATTATCTCCTCTTACCATCTTCAGCATGTTGCTGGCAGAGGGAGAGACTGCTTTCCTTAGCTCATTGTGTTTGTTTACAATCTCCTTTTGCACTTGTGTTTGGGTGGTTAACAAAGCAGTAAAAGCTGGATCCTAGAGAAAAATAAGAATTATTTTTAACGCTTTTGAAAATTATAATAGTGAATAATTCCAGAGAAAAAATCATGTGCATAAGATTTAGCTAATTTATGATAATACAGAATTATTAAAAACAAAGTTTTGAGCACTTCCAATAAAAATGAGACAAAATTATGAATTTTGCAGGGGATATAGTAGAGAAAAGCTTTGCAACAAGGAGTAATTCATGGCATAACAAATAACAACCTGTATTGGAGACACAAATGCAAATTTCTGGCTTCAAGAAATTTTTTATATGATTTTTATAGATATAGGGTAGATGATATTTTAGAACCTTAGGGCATATTCATTCCCATTTCTTTTGACTGCAGCAAAGTGACATAAGGGTGGAACCCGAAATTCATCTTGGACTTTCTTTGCCCTGAGATAAGGATTTGTATTTGGAGAAAGAATGTTGAGGACCAGCTGAAGTGCATGTCTCACATTCAATACTCAACTAAAATCATTCTACCTACTATGTGGCAGATTTTATGTTTTTTTTTCTTAAAAGAAGCTTTGCAATGTTTTTAAAAAATTTCTGGCTCCTGGCTTTGGCTCAGCACAGCCCTGACCATTGTAGGAAGATTCTCTCTCTCTCTCTGTCTCTCTCTCTCTTGCTCTTGCCCTCGTTCTCGCTCTCCCTGTCTCTGCTGCTTCTCTGTAACGCTAACTTTCAAATAAATAAATAAATCTAGAAAAATAAAAAGAAATGGGTGATACTGAATTAATAATGTATATTATTTATAATGAGTTGAGTGGTGATTTCCAAAAAGACATGTCATGTGCTTATCCCCAGAATGTGTGAGTGTTATCTTATTTTGGAATCAAAAAAGGCACTCTTTAAAGATACACTTAAAGATCTTAGATTGAAATCATCCTACGTTATCCAGTGGGCCATTAATCCAGTGACCCATATTTTATAAGAGACACACAGAGAGCAGACAGCAGTGTGAAGATGAAGGCAGAGATCAGAGTGATGGAGCCACACGTTTATCAATGCCAGGGACTGGCAGAAGCCACCAGATGCTGGGAATAAGGCAAGGTGTTGATCCCTTCTGGAACCTCCAGGAGCATCCGGTCTCAAGATACCTTGATTTCAGATTTCTGGCCTCTATAGCTGTGAAAGAATAAATTTCTGTCGTTCTAAGTTACAAGCTTATGATCTTGTGTCTCAGTAGCCCTAGGAATCAAATACATTTGTAAACTAAATATTCAAGGTACTATCATTTCATCATTATTGAAATTTATTGCTATTGTTTCTCTAAACCTTTGAAATGTGGTATCATACTTGCGCTACAATTTGTCTCATTCAAGCCTCATTTCAAGTGTTTAATCACTACATGTGACTGGCAGCTATGTCAAGTCCTTTGAATAGCCGATGAGAACCTCATAGCATACCAGACACTTCCATCCTTGAAGTAGCTTGCTATCCACCTAGTTGCAGATAGTGCTGAGATTATCAATTTCAACCTTACCTTTCCTTCAGTGGGTAAAGATGGAAGCAGCACAGTAACCAGAAACAACACCACTGGGAATAAAGCCATTGCTAGAAATTAAGCAAAAGAAAACAAAAGCCTGCATTAGATCAAGCAGTGCATGGATTTCTGACTAAGAGGAAGAAAAATCAATGAAATTATCTTGCTTATCCAAAGGAACTGTGACCTTCAAATTTGCTAATAACATAATTAGTGAATAATTGACATAGTTCCAGTAGACTCATAGTGGAGCTGATCCTGTCTGTACTAAGGGCAGCAGTGAATAAAGTGAATAATTTGATTGATGCCTTTAAGGTGCAATTATAAATGATAGGGACATGTTGCCTTCTTTATCATGGTTTTGTTACCCTTATCTTACCAAAAGGAAAATATGGAAAAAACTCCACATTCCTTCATAGGTATTCATAGTACTAGCATCTATTATTCATCTCTATGTTTTGGAAAAGCTTACTTTCAATGTGTACTGTCTCTTTATTATTAAGATTTATTTTTATTTATTTGAAAGGCAGAGTTACAGAGAGAGAGAGGGGAAGAGAGAGAGAGAAAGAGAGAGAGAGAGAATGTTCTATCTGCTGGTTCACTCTCTGGATGCCGGTACTGCAGGGGGAGGCTTAACCTCTATGTCACAGAGCCAGCCCCCGTGTACTGTCTTTTGATTTGCTATTTTATATGAAAAGTATAATTATTTGTCCATTTTATGTATATCAGACTGCAATCAAGATTCCAGGATTGTGACCACATAGACATATATGTGCAACCAGTTCATTAATTATTTTTCTAATGGAACTCTTAGAAGTTGTGTTAATTTTCTTCCTTATACTCGTGTGTAATCTCAAATTTCCTGTGGAGAAAAAAATGCAAATACAATCAATGTATTAAAAGTTTAGCTGTTCAAGGAAGTTTAATACATGATTTGGTACACAGGTAATATTTTCATTAATTTTTGAAAAGTCATTCAGCATTTCATTGTCCATATTGTCCTTTCTTTTTTTTTCTTAAAATAATTTTAATTTTATTATGTAGTTTTTAAAACTGAAAACTATAACACTGATAAGATAATTAAAATTTTTACAAAAATGAGAAAAAAATTTTGTATACATCAATATAATAGTGTACATAATAGAAAAATAATCACCACTATCACTATTTCTGATTTCCTTCAAAAGTTTCAGGCTGTATTTGTTCTTAAATTTTTTATGTACAAAAAAAAACTCTTCAGTTTCAATTTAGTTGTTGAATTATCATAATATTCCCAGTAATATTTTCTTTTTTAATTTTATTTAATGAATATAAATTTCCAAAGTATAGCTTATGGATTACAATGGCTCCCCCACCCCCCCCAATAACTTCCCTCCACCCTCAACCCTCCCCTCTCCAGCTCCCTTTCCCCTTCCTTTCACATCAAGATTCTTTTTCAATTATCTTTATATATAGAAGATCAATTTAGTATATATTAAGTAAAGATTTCAACAGTTTACACCCACACATAAAACAAAGTGAAAAATACTGTTTGAGTACTAGTTATAGCATTTTTTAAACTTTTATTTAATGAATATAAATTTCCAAAGTACAGGTTATGGCTTACAATGGCTTCCCGCCCATAACGTCCCTCCCACCCGCAACCCTTCCCTTTCCCACTCCCTCTCCCCTTCCATTCACATATTGTCCTTTCTTACTGTATCAAAACGTCCTAGACATTTCGGATGAAGCAGTAAGACCATTTCACTTAGGAAGCACTCATCTTCCTGCCATTAATCTACTTCACTTATTTTGCTAATTAAAGTCCGCTTTGATTTGCTTCCAATGTGTGAGACTGCACTCCCAAATTCTTGGAGGGAAAGAAATTCTTCAAAAAATCATTTGCGATACATCTCAGACTTCACCAATTTGTAAATATTAGGCAATTGATCCTCAATGGTATGCCAATTAAATGAAGAAAATGAACATTTGTTAATGGTTTATGATAAAATTTGAAGTGTAATGCACTTTGCTGCTTTCTTGGGTATTACTCTTCAATTTTACAGATGAAAAAATAAAGGCCTAGATCAGTTAGCCCTTTTCAATGATAACTTTTTATTCAATATCAGAAATTAATTTTAATCCAATTAAAACTCAATATACACTGAAAGAGACATAGTTTCAACTGGGAAAAGCAAACAATGAATCATTGTTGCAGCACAATGGAGCCTTGCTGTTCCTATTTTAATAATTCATACACTACTGCATAATCATATATGTAATAGAAGTAAAACAATTAATATGGAAGTTTATATACATAAATAGCAACATTTTAAATTCTATTTAAGGTGATTTTAATATAATTATTTAAAAAAGCAATAAAGACAGGAATTAAGGAAATTATTTTTAGAATGAATATAAAAATTCATTGGATATTACATCTTTGTTTTGTAATAGTGCTACAATATTCCTTCTTAATTTTAAAAGTTTTATTGAAATCATTCTTAATAAAAATTTATCAAAATTTTAGAAAACATAGGTATATTTACTAAATATATAATTTTACCCATAGCAACCTAAAAATAAATGGCATAATAGAATATTCTTAAAATATTACTACTGCTACTCACTGTTGGTTCTCATAGCAGGATGTAATATCTGTTTAAACTCTAGAAAGGACAGTGGAGAGAAGTTATAGGAAAATATATATTGTACCCATTTCTGTTTTTGTAAATTCTGGTTTTCAAGTAAACCTAAGTTTAAAAGATTCTGGGAAGATAAGGGGGTGCACACAGAGAGGCTGGACAATGGGCACCAAAATACAGATAGAAGGAATAAGTTCTAGAGTTTCACAGCACAGTGGAGTGGCTATAGTTTACAATAACCTGCTATATATTTTATGAACATATAGAAGCAATGACAAGAAGAGGGAAATGCTAATGTTCCTGATTGGCTTAACACCCATTGTATGCATTTATTGAACTATCACACTGCACCACAGAAAAATGCACTATTATTAAAGATTTTGACACAGTGTAAGGAATTTAAAATGATAACTGATCATCACACATTGAATATATGTATTGAATTATGACATTGTATACCGCAAGTATAAACAATCTAAATAATGAAAAAAATTGTCATAAAAATTCTGAAATGATATTTTTCAAATCAGTGGCCTCAATTTTTATCACCATTTAATCAACAATGTTATGACATTATTTGCTTCCCACAAAGCATTAAGAGAAAGTAAACCATGATGTCTCCCTCTCACTAGCAAAGTTCCTCTCATCTTTTCAAGGATACCAAAATCTGGATTTTGCTTTTTTGACCTACTGCTTCTATACTCACCACTGAAGTCAGATTTATTACCAGGAACAAGGAGCCAGCATCATAGAGAGCGCCCATGGCTCTGCTTTCTCTGACTTTTACTTCCTACTTATCAGCTACTTACAGCTTAATGATTAGGAATACAGTTTTTGGAAGTCATTAGGTCTATGAAACTCTCACTGAGCTTCAGTGTCAAATTTCTCTATGTAAAATGTGGATTATCATATATTGTCAACTTTGAAAATTGAAAGTCATAATATATGCAAAACACCTAGTATAATCAATACTCATACACAATATGACATATTTGGTAGTGTGAGGATTCCTAAGATCTTTATATAAACATATATTATATTTAGTAGTTGATTTCAGAAGTGTTTATAAGACTTGTTTTGCCTTCTAGATGCCTTGGTGCGTGCGTATTAGGGAGGGATCAGAAAAATCTAATCAGGGATTCAAGTGTTCAAGACATGGTTCTGGCTTACTTTAGGAAAACTACCTAACATCTGTGTTGCTTATCATCATCAGTTCCTTGAAAGGTAAATATACATAAGAGCCTGAAGATTTTGCACAGCTCAGTCAATCAATAGGCTTGCCTTAGATGACATATTATTCCATAATTTAATAGACCATGATATGATACACTCTTCTCTGCTTCTCTCCTTCCCCATACTTTTTCACTCATCCAACATCTTTCAATCATCTTTGTTGCATCAATGAAAACAATGGTGAGAGCATATGAAATACTTCTCCATTCACTATAACTTCATGTTATCTCTACATTCATACATAGTTGAAAAGTTGGTTACCATTTTTTCTCTTGCCACTTACCAATCAAAAAGTACTGTGCCCTTTATGGCAGATGTTCTAAGACCAGGATGACATAGCTGTCTTAGGATGTCTGTAGGAGCAGCATGGTGTACAGTTTCATAGTGCTAAAAAATGGAATATTTAAAATAAATAAAAGAAGACTACTGTTATAGATAGTATCCATATTTTCTGTCACAAACTGAAAACTTGGCTCAACTATTTAGTTTTGTTCTCTAATTCATTAGTATATATGAAGTCACCATTATGACTATAATTTCCTCTAGAGATCAGTTTGTGTTTCTATGTCCTAGTTTTTGCTTCAAGCACTAACCTAAAAGTAGACTCTTTAAAAGAGTTCAACTAATTCTGGATTCCCTAGCTTCTCTGAAAAATCATAGCATACTTTCAATACTCCTAATCCCTTATCTAGGACTCCAACTCATGCACTATCTAAAGGATAATATCAGTAAGAAGTTTCAGACATACATGGATTTGGGAATTAAATTTTTAACTTCATGTTTTCATATGGAAGACAATGGATGACATAAAATCCAGAAGAGGCAATGACCATAAGTCTAAGTATTGTATACAACTTTGAATAACAGTACATTCAAAACATAAGAAACTAAGGCACTTAATTTGATTTCATGAAAGACCAGATTTAGAGACGTCCAACTTGTGTGAATTAATAGGTCTCAGGTACATAGGATGTTTTGTTTTATAAGATAAGTAAAGCATATGATAGATTAAACAGAGAGGTGCATTGAACGTCCTTGGTGGGTAAGTACTAAGCAATAATAGTGAACTATCTGCCCTGAAATCTGCCAATGTACCCTCGACAGTGCCCACAGGCATGGATGAAGACGAGCAATCCCCCCCTCCTCACAGATGTATCTCTCTGTCTTCACTCACCTTCCCGTGCCTGGTCGTTTCCATTCTCCCAGGCTACCCTAATACTTACCTCCTTCTCCTGAGCACAGGTCTTCGTGGTGTGGGGCCTAGCTGCGGCTGCTCGCCCCTCCTATGGCGATTGTCAGCTTTCCCCATTGCACCACGTGGGGGCGACGTCACAGGGCTTTATGCCTTCACAGCCATCTCGCTAAGTGGTTTCCTCCCATCGCTTCTCCATTTGTCCCTAGGATTGCGCCTAAAAACTTCAGTACATTTCTCGTTTTTTTTTTTATTCTTGGAATGTATACCCTATGAATTAGCTGAGGCTACCACACATACACAAAAATATTTATATTTATGATATACACCAATAATCTCGTACAGCCTAACTGAAAATGATTTTCAGTCAATTGCTTCTTAACTGCTTTCTTGCTTCCATTCTTGCTCCCTTACAAAATAGATTTCATTATATCACACTCCTTTTCAACATACGTTGATGACTTGCCACTTTACTTTTAATAATATACTAATTTATTTAAAAGTGTTTTTATTAAAAATGTTAACATGAAAATAATATATATATATATATATTAAAGGGCACTAGGTGATGTTTTGACATTTGCACTATGTAACCAGGTTTCTGCCTAATGCTGTTGCTTCTTTTCAAATTTTCTTAGCTTTTCTCTCTCTGCTTCAGCTCTTCTGGGCTTCTTGCCTTTACTTAACTATGTCAAGTTATTATCTATCTCAATAAATTTGTACTCACTTTTCTTTCTGTCAGAAGTCTTCTCCCTTAAAGAATCTAATTGGTTGTTCTCTCATTTCTATTGTGTTTCTGACCCAATATCATTTTCTCAGAGAGGATTTATCTGAAAAGTTGTTTAAATCCACCTTTCTTTCTCCAAGCCCATCCTTATCATGTTTTATCCTCTAGCAATTTTAGTTGATAATGTATATGATTTCTTAGTATCAGTCAAAATAGTTTTCCTTTTCTCTTTTCTACCAGAATGAGCTCCATATTATCTTCAACAAATATTTCTTAAGCTCAAGAAACAGTGATACACACTGTGATGATTACTATGAAAGAAAATACATGGAGTTGCAAGAGAATAAGAAAAAATTCTTCAGTTATCTTCTCACAGAAATATCTTTGATAGAATGTTTATTTTGCATTAGCTACTGCAGTAAGTAATAAGAAGGATGCTTTCAAATGGAGCTAATAGCAAACATACCTGCCTTGAGATATAAAAGATTTGAGGTGCTTCACAGAATTTAATGGGGTCATTGTACTGGATCATAGTAAGGGAGAGTAAAATGAAATGGGATTGGAGGGGAAAGTAGAAACTCATTCAGTTTCTTTCAGTTTGGTTTGAGTATGAATATGTGAATTCTCTAAATACTCAAGAATGCCATTGAAAAGTTATGAATGGAAACCAATTAGAAAATGTATTAAAGACTAAGAGATACTGCAAAAATAGCATCTGCGAATTACAGTAGCAGCCTTGGAGCTTCCTGCTTTCCCTTCCCTCAAGACTATGTATATCTTTGAAATTTTCAGTAAAGTCAGACACTGGATAAGCAAGTTTCAAATTTGACAGTGCAATTATTGGTATTATTTGAAAGGTTATGAAAAGATGACAAAATCATCTGTTTAACAATTGCACAGAAAAAGTGAAAGTTAGTCAGGGGAAGTCTGAAAGATCAATAATCAGATAATCTAGAGAAAAAATGTGAAGTTTCTGGGTGGCAAGAAAAAAAATCTTGCTCTTTTTAAATGCATTTTTTATTTATTTTTATTTTAGGTCTACAGAAAATTTGCTAACATAGTGGAGAGATCTGCATGTATTTCTCGTTCAGATTCACTTTCTGTATTGTTACCATTTTACATTTCCCTAGCACAATGATCAAAACTAAGAAATCAGAGTCACTGTTAATAATACTCCATACCTGGATTGTACCAATTTTCCCATTAATGGTTTTTTCTCTTCCAATATCCAATCCATGATAGCACATTGCATTTAATTCTCATGTCTCCTTATGCTCCCTTGGTTTGTGACTATTTCTCAAAATTTCCTGATTTTTCATGATTTTTAGTTTTGAGGAGTACTGTCAAATACTTCAGGGGTATTCTGTAGATTGTGCCTCAGTTTAGGTTTGTCTGATGTTTTAGCTCATTTGATTAGAGAGAGATTTTGATTTTCTTAGCGAGAATGTCACAGAGGATGAAGAACAGAATCCACATAACTAATCACTGATGGTGTTAATTTGGATCTGTTGGTTCATATGGAACTTGCCAACCCTCAACTTTATTGTTACTCTTTTGCTTCTTCCACATTTTAGTTCTTGGAAGTGAGTCACTAAATTCAACGAGTCTCAAAATGAAGAAGACTGAGTTGTGCCTTCTTGAGGGGGTATTTATGGAGATTATTTTTAATTCTTTTAAAAATGTTTCTAAAAGAAAATTTTTCTAAGGGAAAAGAGGTATAAAAAATAAAGTGTGATCATTTTCTATTGGAAAACTTGTGTAAATTGCAGTTAGCTTTGTGGTGCTGGGTTTAGTCGCCACATGTAACATGTGCCGGTTTCAGTTCTGGCTGTTCCTCATTCAACCCCGCTCCCTGCTAGTGGCTTGGGAGAAGCAGCAGAAGATGGACCAGGTGTTTGGGAATCTGCCACTCATGTGGTTAACCTGGATGGAGTTCTAGGTTCCTGCCTTTGGCCAGCCAAGCCCCAGTCATTACAGCCATTTTGGGAGTGAATCAGTGAATAGATTTGTCTTTCTCTGTCTTTCCCTCTCTCTTTCTGCAACTCTGCCTACCAAATAAATAAATAATGATTTTAAAGTGAATCAAAAGTCTTCATTAATCTTGGCAAACTTAAAGTTTGGGTTCCTTTAGGACACATTCAACTTAATTGTAGGTTGAGCTGAATGAGTGAGACAAAGGGTGAATGAATGAAACAGCATTAAATATAAAATATGTGGGGGCTGGCACTGCCACATAGCCGGTAACTGATATGCCTCCATCCCATATAGGGCTGGTTTAAGTTCTGGCTGCTCCACTTCTGATCCAGTTCTCTGCTAATGCACCTGGAAAAGCAGTAGAAAACAGTCCAAGTTCTTGGACCCCTGCACACATGTGGGATACCTGGAAAAACCTCCTGGCTTCTATCTTTGGCCTGGCCCTGCCCCTGCTGTTGCGGTCATTTGGGGAGTGAACCAGTGGATGGATGATCTTTCTCTCTCTCTCTCTGTCTAACTCTGACTTTCAAGTACATCTTTAAAAAATGGATTATATGTAAATGATTATTTGGAGGTATTTATTTATACAGCAGTGCTAGGAAAGATGACTGTTGGCCAGCATTTATGTGACAAAGCTAATACATTCCATTCTTACTGTACATTTTAATCTAGGAACATGATTTTCAATTTCAGCTCCGGAGCTTAATAACCATAGTTATAAAACAATACAACTTTCAGAAGCTTCTACTTGATTTAATTTAATTTACACCACAAATTTATATACAGAAATTTCAAGTTGTTACCATAGATTTTATTACTTTGAATCCTTTCTCTAAAAGCCATTTCTGTAAAATAAGAAGTATATTCAAAAGAAAAATATTTATTACATTTTGGAATCAAATTTGGAGCTAATGCACCTATAACTTCCCTGCTAGTATACATCAAATCTAAGTGGATGATGTAGCTTCTCTCCATATTCCTTTTAGTTTGTGAGGGGCTTTCCATAAATTTTATCCTTACAGTAGCAGCTGGCCTTGCAGTTGTTCTTAACCAATTGATGTTCACAACTTAGCATTCTTTCCAGGTCATCACAGTTACTATAGATATTTTCATATTCACAACCATTGGCTGAAAAAAAAGAAATTAATACTTGATTATACCATTTCTCCACAGGAACAATACATTATGTTTAAACAGGGAATAGAGAATTAAGCAAACAATGGTACATCATTACATTATGATGACCATTTCATTGAGGAACACATAAGTTAAAATTTGAATAATTCATTATTTTTTTTAAAAATTATTTATTTGAAAGGCAGAGTTAGAGAGAGATCGAGAGAGAGAGAGAGACATCCTCCATCCCATTTGCTCACTTCTCAAATGGCCCAATGGCCAGGGATGGCCTAGGCCAAAGCCAGGAGAATGGAACTCCATCCAGGTGTCCTACGTGAGTGGCTGAGGCTCAAACACTTGGGTCATCCTCTACTGCTTTCCCAGCTGCTTTAGCAGTGAGCTGGATTAGAAGTGGAGCAGTCTAGCTGGCAACTGGCCTTCCTATGGGATACCAGCGTTGCAAGCACTGATTTAAATCACTATACTATAACACTTGCCCCAATTGCTTCTTTTAAATTTGAGTTATTAGTCATGTTTTCATGATGAATTTACTGATTTTCTTCACTCAAGAAACAGAGGATTGGGACATAGCAATGTACTCAGTGGGGTAAGCCTCCAGTTGTAATGCTGTCATCCAATATCAGAGTGCCTGTTTGAGTTACAGTGGCTCCACTTCTGATCCAGCTCCTTGCTAATATTTCTGGGAATGATGTACCCAAGTACTTGGGTCTCTACCACCCTCTCAGAAGACATGGAAGGAGTTCCTGGCTCCTGGCTTTGATCTAGTTCAGACTACCAATGTAGCCATTTGGGGAGTGAACTAGTGGATGGAAGCATTCTCTCTCTCTCTCTATCTCCCTCTCTTTCTGTCACACTGCCTTTCAAATGAATAAATACATCTTTTAAAAAGCAGAGTAAAACTAACTTAAATTAATTCACCATACCTGCACTGCCTGAAGTGGTAGCCACAAGACATGGGATTGATTAAGCTTGAAGTTAAACTAATTAAAATTAAGTATTTTAGGTCACAGTGACATTAGTTGCCTCCCAAGTGCTAATAAGCATCATCCCTATGGGTTACTTTACATGGCAGTGAAAATGTTACGTATTTCCATTATTATAGAAAGTTCTGTTGGACACTATTGCTCTAAACTAATGCCACCAGTATTTCTATTTAGATGTCCCTTAGTGGCCAAAGACAGCAAATTCCAAATTTAATTAATCATCTTATCATGCACAAACTTCACAATGTGTTGATATTTTCACAAATCTCTCCATTCAATTCACATAGTCCATGGCACTCCCAAATACTAAATAACTGTAAGGACAAATTGGGAATCACCAGAATTTGTTTCTCTATACTTTTCATCAACCTTAAACAAGTGCAGATAACAAAAACTATAATATTTTTCCTATCTCTCATATCTGTCTCTTTCTTTTCATTTTGCACTTCAGTAAAGATACCCATTTGTTATTAAGTCTGTGTTTATCAACAGTCTCCTAGAATACATGCCTGCCTATATCTACCTACCAAAGTTAAATAAAGAAAATATGGAAAATCCAAACATACCAATAAAAGAAGCAAGATTGAAGCAGTAAGTGAAAGTGTCTCATTGAAAAAAGAAAGAAAAATCCAGTACATAATGGCTTTATATCTAAATTCTATAAAACATTTAAAGAGAAAGTAAATCCAGAACTTCTCAAATTTTTATACAACTATTAAAAACGATGAAACTCTGCCACATTTCCTTTCATGAGGCCACCATTACTCTGATACCAAAATCAAACAAAGGTACACCATGAAAAGAAAACTATGTACAAATATTCTGATGAACATAGATGCAAACATTCTTCAAGCAGTATTAGCAAACAGAATCCAACACTGCATTCTTAAAGCAGTACTAGCAAACAGAATCCAACACTGCATTAAAAAGATCATGCATCCTTATCAAGTGAGATTTATCTCAGGGGGGCAAATATGACTCAACATTCACAAATCAATAAGTAATACATCACAGTGACAGAGTAAAGAACAAAAACCATGGGATCATCTCAAGAAATGTAAAAAAATCATTGGCTAAGATGCAATGTCCTCCAATTAGTGTGATGTATCATTTTTATTGATTTTCATATGTTAAACCATCCCTGCATACCAGGGATAAATTTCACTTAGTACAAGTGAATGATCTTTCTAATGTGTTGTTGGATTTGATTAGATAGTATTGTATTGAGTATTTTTGCATCACTGTTCATCAAGGATATTGTTCTATGGTGCTCTTTCTTAGTTGTTCCTTTTTCTCGTTTGAGAATTAAGGTGATGCTCGCTTTGTAGGAGGAGCTTGGGAGGATTCCCTCCTTTTCAATTGTTTTGAATAGTCTGAGAAGATTTGGGATTAGTTCTTTATTTTTCTTTATATTTTATTTAAGGCATACAGATTTCATGCATTCTTATATACAGATTCAGGAACATAGTGATACTTTCCACCCTACCCTCCCTGCTGCCCACACTCCCACTTCCTCCTTCTCCCTCTCCTATTTCCATTCTTATTACAATGATCTACTTTCAGTTAACTTTATACTAATAAGATTAATCCTACACTAAGTAAAGAGTCCAGAAAATAGTATGAAGAAAAAAAAATCACTGTTCCTCAACAGTTGATTCAAGGGCTAAAAACAATCAGTGAATTTAAGTGTCAATTTCATTCCTATAGATTACCTTTTATGTACTCCATTAGTTACCACAGACCAGGGAGAACATATGGTATATGTATTTTTGGGACAGGCTTCTTTCACTAAGTATAATGGTTTCTAGTTGCATCTATTTTGTGTCAACAATAGGATTTCATCCATTTTGTTGCCAACAACAGGATTTCTTTTTTTTTTACATAAAATTAATAACAAACACAAATGCAGTGATTATTAAATTGAACTTACTGGTTCTAAAAACACCATGAAGAAAATGAAGAATTAGTATGGTAAACTCCTTGGCATATAAAAACTTGCAATATTTTATGTTCCCATCTGGACTTAATCATCATCTATGGTCTCCCACTTTTAGGTTTCTATGTTTTTTCTCTTTGGAAAATGCCTCCTTTGGCATAATGACATTTATTTTGATGAAAAGAGGTTTTGCATTTACCCCAATGAATTATTTTCACAGAAACGTTTTCATAGATGCCAATATGTAGTGTTCTTAATGTAGTAACAAGTATACACAGATAGTAGATATTTCTTAGATTATGCACATTACCAGTATTTTTAATTTAAATAATATATAGATACTAAACGGTGTAAAACTTCACTTAAAAGTACAAAGTGAGGGCCAGCATTGTAGCATAGTGAGTTCAGCTGTTACCTCAGCACTGGCATCCCAAATGGGTATGGTTCATGTCCCAGTTGCTCCACTTCTGATGCAGCTTCCTGCTAACTTGCCTGGGAGACTAGGATAAGTTCTTGGACCACTGCAGCCCAGTGGGAGACCCAGACAGAGTTCCAAGCTCCTGGCTTTGACCTGGTCCAGCCCTAACCAGCCATTGTAGCCATTTAAGGAATGAACCAGTGGATAGAATATATCTCTATTCCTTTCTCTGTCTCTTTCTCTCTCTCTCTCTCTCCCTCCCTTCCTCCCTCCCTCCCTCCCTCCCTCTAGCTTTGTCTTTCAAATGAATAAAAATAAAATCTTTTTAAAAAACAGGGTTTTTTTTTGCTTTTGAATAGCTTAAGTTGGTTATATTAAGAGGATTCTAAAAAAATGACATTTTATTATCCAGCAAATTAATCACATCAGACTTACTGCATAGTCCATTGTCACAGTGATCAGGGCAACTGCCACAAGGTTCTCCTTTTGTATAAGGTATATATTGTCTGCTAACATCATTCCCACTGAAATTTGAAATGCAAAATGTCAACTTTAAATTTTTTTTCTGTTTAGATTAGCTTCAAAGTTAGCCTGAGTCACCAAAAATATATGAATATTCATTTAAAATTTTTGATTTTGAAAATAACAGAAAAACCAACAAAGTGTATTCAATTGATAATACAAAGTAAGAAGATAATCTACATATTCACTTATTTCCTTGACCAAAATCTCAGAACTTGAGCAATGGAAATAATATAACTAGAGTTTAAATAATATAACTAGAGTTTAAAGTTATCAGAGTCTGTTTCCACTGTAGTAACAGCCTCTTCATATTCCAAAACATTTGGTCAAATTGCTAAGACCATTTATCACAATGTACTGGTGATAGAAAAAGGAGAAGAACCTGGGGTGGGGGTAGGGGCAAAAGAATGCAATAAGAAAATTATATAAATTATAATTTTACAGCTAAAATTGAAAAATGTACACATTTCCATAGTGTCGATGAAAGTATATAAAGCCTCAGTGTATTTTTTTGACTCTTGGATGGGGTGGTGATTTTCTAGTGTGCAAATTTTTGGGGGAGGAGGTTGTACTTGGACTGCTTATAAAGGTAAAGAACTGGCAAGTGAATGAATTTGTATGTTTACCAAAAATAATTTTGTTAGTTAGACAGACAAAAAAATTCCATTAACACCAGTTTCCAGAGTGTGTTTATCCTACAAAGACTAGTCTGTACTTAATTGATTATGATTATTCCTATAGGTCATTATCTGAAAATACACATAAAAAATTCAGTCTCTGCTGGCGCAGTGGCTCACTAGGCTAATCCTCCACCTGGGGCGCCAGTACCCCGGGGTTCTAGTCCCAGTTGGGGCGCCAGATTCTGTCCCGGTTGCTCCTCTTCCAGTCCAGCTCTCTGCTGTGGCCCAGAAGTGCAGTGGAGGATGGCCCAAGTGCTAGGGCCCTGCACCCACATGGGAGATCAGGAGGAAGCACCTGGCTCCTGGCTTCAGATCAGTGCGGCATGTTGGCCATGGCTGCCATTTAGGGGGTGAACCAACGGAAGGAAGACCTTTCTCTCTGTCTCTCTCTGTCTAACTCTGCCTGTCAAAAAAAATTCAGTCTCAATTGCACTTAGAAGGCAAGATGACAGAGCAATGTAACTGAAGCTCAGTCTTTCTGTATAAAATATAGATATTCCATGTGACAACATGGAAAAATCATGACATGTATGAAAGTGCTCTGGAAGTTTTCTCTTCCCTTCTTTCCATTATTATTCACTCTTTCATTATGAATGCCTAACTGCATGTTCCATTCCCTTGACCAGGCATTTGGATGCATTCTCCTAGGACCTTTCATTCTCTCTACTAAATATCAAAAACATTTTACTCAAAAATGACTTTGAGGATTGAGCTTCACAAACTGGAACCCTATTTCATTGGAATTATCTACAGTTTCCAAAATCATGATAGAGGACGTTTTATTGGTGGAAACTTCTGTCTCTGGTACTAAAAATTTTCCAATACTAAAAAGAAAATAAAATTAACAGATAAATTGCAAATTTGTCTTCAGTATAACTACAGGATTTTGTGTGTGTGTGTGTGTGTGTATGTACAGTTCAAACATAATATTCAAAGAAAGAGTAGGCTTCTGGCTAGAAATAAAAATCTCAATGGATGCTTCCCTCCATGTTTTTGGTGGTAAATTCTGAAAAGCAGGGCTGGTATTGTGGCACAGTGGGTTAAGCTGCCACCTGTGAAGCTGGCTTCCCAAATCAGAGCACTAACTAAGTCCTGACTGCACTCCTTCCAACCCATCTTCCTGCATCTGGGAAGGCCACAGTACATGGCCCAAGTGCTTGTGCTTGTGGGAGATCAGAGTGCAGTGCCTGGCTCCTGGCTGTTGAGGCTATTTGAAGGTGTGAACCTGCTGATGGAAGACCTCTCTTTCTGTCTCTTTCTCTATGTCTCTTTCTGTTACTCTGCCTTTCATATAAATAATTGAAACTTTCTAAAAAATAAATTCTGAGAGGCAAAGCCTTGAAACTATTATCTAGTATTGATTATTTGAATATATTAGGGATCTCTTGAAAAGTCCTGGATACCTCTTATTTAATCATTTCTCAATGATAAAAATATGTCACTTTTAGGTAAACAACTATAGGAACATTTGAACAGAAATTGCTGGAATCACTAAAATGTGTCATTTCCTATTTGCTACTTCACCTTTACCCTGGCCTAATGTCAAATTTTCACCTTCTAGTGTGTTAACTGACCACAAATTTATAATATACATCTGGAAAAATAGATACTACATGTACTACAGGTACTTTTGAAGTACCTCTGAGTATAGGGAGTGGCCATTGAGAAGGAACATATTATACATTTTAGGCATATAGACAGAGAACTTCAGAATATTGTACTTGGAACCAAGAAGTTGGTAGAAGGTATATCAACTTCAGAAGACTTTTCTAAAGACTTATCTCTTTTTTCTTAATATTTTATTTTTGATCTTTTTATTATATGATAATTTAAGAATATTAAACTGCATTTGGAATTATTAGCAGTAAATTCTAAAGCACATACTTACGGAGGACAATACTGGCAGACCATGAAGTGTTTTAAATATTCATTAGGACAGTAGGCATATCCACACCCAACATTGTAAGATGAGTACCAAACAACCTACACACCGATAAGTGAAAACATGAGAGTACATTAGAGAAGGAAGTATCAAAAATAAGTAGTAAGAAACCCAAAACTCAAAAGAATGTTTCTGATGTACTTTGTTTCTGTATGTCTTATATATAATATATTTTTGTTAAATTACTGAACCAAACTGTAAATTTGTGAAAGTATTATATTTCTGTAAACATTAAGTATTTTATCTATTCGGCCTGTTAAAAAAATGCAGAGGCTATTTTTCTACCAAGAGCCTGAAAGCTATTGAAAAACGGCAGTTCACAACTAAAATATTTACAATATGCCCAGGCTACTATATCCACTTAAAATAGTCCCCAAAATTAATATGGGAGTGAGTAAAAATTTAGAGAAACTTTCCTTACAGGACAATTGTGTTAGCGAATATTCAATTTTTCCTCTTACCTGAGTATAATGTCCAACTACTGCATTGGATGTCTTTGGCCCTACTCCATAGACAAAATTAAGTTGCTCATCATACCAGGTTTGGACTGCTTGTGACCAACTTGTGGGGCCACTTGACATAAAAAGGTTCTCACCACAGCTTATATCTAAAAAGGAGCAGATCCAACATATTAAATCATGCAATGGCAAATACACACACACACAGACTCACAGAGACAAGCACACATGCACATGCCATTGATTTCCTGGTCTTCAGAGTACCCATAGTTGCTCACTGTTGACTAATACATAAGGAAGGTGCCATGGATCCTTATTAGCTATAAACTGAGCAGAGGCTAGATGTGCCCAAAGCCTTGAGTCTGGCCTCAACATGCAAACATTGAGCAGGTGGAATAGTCATTTTTTTAAATATCTGCTCTGCCTAGAGTCATTTATCTACACATAAAAGTCTACCTTTGTGTGCCTCATGTGCACTCAGCTTTTTATTTTAAGCTTATTGAAGGCAGAGACCAACTCTTGTAATCTCTGTTGCTTTCACTGTTACCCAGCAGAGATTTTCATATATAAAAATCTGAATAATGTTTGGGTGAGCTTTGAAAAACATCTAATAATAAGTTTTTAAGAGATCCTAGCAGGAATCAAATGACATTAGTAGGGACATTTTTTTTTTTAAGTTTGTGAACTGTAATCAGCAAATCAGAACATCACAAGCCATACTCTCCCCAGAGAATTAAAGTGTCTTGTAGCCCATGAACTTGTTTACTTTCTTCAAACTCTGAAATTAATATTTATGTTTATGAGGCTCTAAGTGTAATGTTTGCTTGTTGCTTAAAGAGTACAAACTACTTTTGGATAACTTCTTTAAGAGGGAGAGAAAAGAGCTAAGTTTTTAACAGTAGGCTAGAATTTTGAAGACCACTTTTTTCAATCTTTCATTTAATGCAGTTATTCTCTATAATTTTATTAGAACTATAATATCAAAATATAAATAACAACTGCAGGACTATCTTTAAAACAGGTACGTTATTTGCTAGTTTCCAGTTGGGCTATATTTATTTATGTCATTTTAGTAATTGAATGAATATTCTCTCTAATATTTCATCCATATGGTATTTTATCTTACATCTTTATGTTCTTTGATGTATAGGTCATGTCTTATGGGTTCTTTTTCAATCTAATATAGTATGCATGCTAGGCACCCAAAACACACAAAGCACTTGACTTATGATTATAAAACATTAAAAAAATAGCAATGTAAATGCTAATGTTATTTTTTCAGTAGAATTCAGGGACAATTTGATAAAATTCGACAGTTTTTATAAATACAAAAAAAAAGCTTTCGAAGTGATAGTAAGCTAATTAATACCATGAAAGGTACTGGGTGAAAAGTCAAAAATTCTAGTTTTTAATTTCCTGTATGAGACACTAAATACTGTTCATTTTCCTCTGCACAGTTGGTTTTCTAATATTTGAAGTAGAGAAAGAGGTGATTAATCACCTGCTTTACTCATAAGCTGGTTGAGAGGAACAACTGTGGTGCTGTATGAGACAGTTTTTATAAAAATGTAAAACAAGAGATACAAAGTGGTGGTTCTCAGATTAACCCTTTATGCTGAGAGAATTATCTTGAGACAGGCATTAGAAGTAACATTTACAAAATTTTCTTAATGCAAACCATAATGTCATCTGTAATTACTTTATTCATGTATCTATTCAGAAAATGTTTATTAATCTACATACTGATTTTTCGATCCTCTCTGTCACTGTGTTCATATTTGCACTGGTTTGCCCACTTTTGGGCATTAGCTGCTGCTCCACTGTTCCATCTCTAAAACAGAGAAAAAAAGACATTCAATTAATGATTCAAACCTCTAAAGATAATAAATATCATTATCAGATAAGTTGATTCACATCATTTTAAAGTTAGGTACAGGCACTTGTGATTTTTGTCATATTCAAAGAAAAATTTCACTGATGTGCCTTTTTCTTTTTTTAACGATTAAACATTAAGTTAATTGAAAGGGTAAGAAGAGAACAGAGTGAAGTGTTTGGGAGACTATGCTCTTTGGCACTATTCCCAGAAGTGTTGGCAACTATTTACCCTAAATGGTATTGATCCTAAAGAGAAAGTATCTTCTTAAATCCAGATTAGGATCATGAGCACAAAAACAGGATGAATTCTACCGGATGTCCAGAGATTCGGTTTTAATTCTTTCTCCACAATTTAAATAAGCCTACAAATTTCACAAGTTACTTAACCATTATAAAGCAGAATTAAGACCATTCTAGCTAAATGAAATAACAAAATAGAGACAGAGCTTCATAAACCACAGAGTTATGAGATATTGACCGCCAGCTGCCTGTTCTTACCATAGCTGGTGCAAGCCATTTTCCTTATATTATTGCCTCTTACCATCTTTAGCATGTTGCTGGCTGGTGGATTGACTGACTTCCTTAGATCATTGTGTTTATTTACAATCTCCTGTTGGACTTCTATTAGGCTGGTTGACAAAGCAGCAGAAGCTTGATTCTAAAGAGAAATAAAGTGAGACTAATTTTTATTATATTCGAAAGCATATATAGTAGTGAATGAGTTAGTTCAAGAAAACAAAGGTCATTTTCAAAATATGTTCAGTGGGTTGATGTTGTGGTGTAGTGAGTAAAGCTGCCACCCGCAATGCCAGCATCCCAGATGGGTACCAGATTGTGTTCCGGCTGTTCCACTTTCAATCCTGCCCCCTCAATAGACTAGAAAGGGCAGTGGAAGATGATTCAAGTGCTTGGGCCCCTGCTACCCATGTGGGAAACCTGGAAAAACCTACTGGCTCCTGGCTTTGGCTTGGCCAGCCCTGGCCGGTGCAGTCGTCTGGAGAGTGACCCAGCAGAAGGAAGATCTCTATCTCTCCCTCCCTCTCTGTAGCTCTGACTTTCAAATAAATATTTATGAAAATATGTTTAGTGCATGACAATATTAGCTGCTTAGCATCACCAGTGAGTCTGAGCCAAAGCTACAACTTTTAAATAGAAAAAAGGTAGACTGAGAAGCTTTGAAGATGGGGATTTAATTCAGGCATGACAAATTGAAATCTCTTCTGAATATACAAATGCCAATTTCTGGTTTGAAAAGAGGTCTTAATTTGATTCTTCTAGATATATGCTATTATAATATTATTATAAATTCTGTGGTTTATGATGATATCTTATAATAATAAAAGTTATAATGATGTCATAATGATAAAGTTACATGACAGGAATCATTAAGATATTCACACTCAAGTAGGCTACAGTAAGTTAGTACTAAGGATGTGGATACCCGATTTACTCTAGGCTTTAGAGAGAACATCCCTCTGGTGTGGTGTCTGGAATTTAAAGAAATAATGTTTAGGCTCAGTCCAAGAACATTTGTGATATTCACTACTGCAGTAGAAGACTTGTATGTATTCTTCTATCATATTCAAAAACTTGCAAAGTATTAACAGGGAATGGTCATTCAATTTGTGAACAACTGTTTATTTTGTCTTTTTTAAAAAGTTTTTTTTATGTATTTGAAAGGCAGAGCTAGGCAGAGGCAGAGGCAGAGGCAGAGAGAGAGATAGAGGTCTTCTATCCACTATTTCACTCCCCAGATGGCAGCAAAGGCCAGAGCTGAACCTATCCGAAGCCAGGAGTCAGGAGCTTCTTCCAGGTCTCCCACGTGGGTTCGGGGACCTGAGGACTTGGGCCATCTTCTATTGCTTTCCTAGTGCATAGCAGAGAGCTGGATCAGAAGTGGAGCAGCCGGGACTGAAACCAATGCCCACTTGGATGCCGGCACTACAGGCGGTAGCTTTACCTGATAGGCTACAACGCTGGCCCCTATTTGTATTTTTTATTAACAAAACTGTAACTGATAATATTTTAAATTAGATTTTGGTATTTGAGTGTGTGTGTGGGTGTCTGGAGAATGGATTGGAGTTGTGTGAATTATTGGCATGAGAAATTAGAAGTTTGTTTATGAAAATAAGATCAGGAGGCTCTCTGATAAAGTTTTATATGAGATGTTGTGATAAATACTCCAACTCTCCACTCCAAATGAGTTTCCATACATTTTTTTCCTCATACTCAAGACTTACAAAAAATGATTCTGAATCTCTCTGACATCTCATGTAATAATTTTGTAAATAAACTCAAGAGAGATAGGTTTTGTAAAGGGTCACAAAATGTTATCTTTGTAGGAAATAAATTGTAAGAACAACAAACTACTTAAATGAAGACTGAGGTGGTGAATAAAGAATCTTCAGACTGTTGCCTCAATTATTGTAACACAAAGACTATATTTATAAATGGCAAATGAGATTTTAATTAAGAGTCAGTATTCTCCAGTCTGCATTAGTCTTCCAGGCCTATAGCCAAAGAACGGTCTGAAAATAGATGTCAAAATTTGAAGCTTTTCATATTCACTGGCTTCCTGGCTAGGAGATAAAGCACTCTGTGTTGGTGTTATACCCCAACATTGAAGAGGGTGACATATTCTGCATCTCAAATTACTAAAGCAAGGAGGCATGTTAAAAATAAGAGCCTTTGGGGGCCGGCACCGTGGCTCACTTGGTTAATCCTCCACCTGCGGCACCAGCATCCCATATGGGCACCAGGTTCTAGTCCTGGTTGCCCCTCTTCCAGTCCAGCTCCCTGGGAGGGCAGTGGAGGATGGCCCAGGTGCTTGGGCCCCTGCACCCGCAAGGAAGACCAGGAGGAAGCACCTGGCTCCTGGCTTTGGATGGCATAGTGCTGGCCACAGTGGCCATTTGGGGGGATGAACCAACGGAAGGAGGACCTTTCTCTCTGTCTCTCTCTCACACTGTCTATAACTCTACTTGTCAAATAATAATAATAATAAAAAAAAAATAAGAGCCTTTGGCCAATGAGCACATGAATGTACTGTGAGAATATAAAATAAACAACAAATTCAAGGAAAATTTTTAATTTAAAAGTCAGATATATTCTCACAAGCCACTGTACATCAAGAAATTATACCAATGTAAGATTATATAAATATACTCTAGTTTCTGTGAGAATAAATTTGAAAAATTTCTTGGGACATGAAGAATTTCACCATCTAAACTGTAGATGTGTAATGTCCAATAAAACTATAGCTAAAACAGCACATACAAGTTTGTTTTTTTCTGAACACTTTAAAAAGTAGATAATTGAAATTAATCTTAAGAGTTTATTTTATTTAACTAAGATACTCAAAATATTATAATTTCATCATGTCAGTAATAGTAAATTTATTATTAGCTCTTTCAATTCTCCATTTTTGCAATGTCTTTGAAAATTTATGTAAATTTAAAAGGTATATTCATCTTGATTCAGATAAATCACACTTTCAGTTTACTACCCTCCTGTACTTAGGGCTACAATATTGCTCACCACTGCTTTAAACTTGTGTCAACTTTCCTGAGCAGGCAGTGAAGATTCTGTGGTGTGCCAGATCCTCTACACCTTTTTGTTAAAGACTGATCTGGTAGCTTTCTGTTGCTCACAGCAAGCTTTAATAAATAGTTTTCGCCTCCTGCATACCTGATTCCCATCTGCAGGGAAGGATGGATGCAGCACAGCAGCCACGAACAGCAATCCCAGGAGTAATGCCATTTCTGGGAAAACAAAACACAGGCGCTGAAGACTTGCATTAGTACATCCTTAGCACATGAACTTCCAAGTAACATGGGCAGGGGCCATAATCTCTGTTATCCCAGATGTAACAAAGGAACTGTCATGTGACGCCTGAAGAGTGCTAGTGGACTCAGTTGTGGAAGCATGCTTCCAACAGGGACAACAACAACAACAACAACAACAAAAAACACTGGACTGGAGCCCTGAAAGACATCCATAAAAGCTAAGAACCTTCTGCTGTGTTTCCTCCCCACCCCGCCCCCTGGGTCCCACAAACTTAGCTATATAGCTATTATCTTTAATTCCTGGGAATGGGTTTCACATATCTACTCAGAAGTAGTAGTAACTCCCAACTGTTACTATTATTGGGGTACATTTGCATAAGCCCTGGTTGGTTATCTTAAGCACAGCCTACACCCTTATGAATATACACTTACTGCCATCTCTTCAAGTGAGAAATTAACATGTGCCATTTGCATCTTGTCAGTACCCTGGCTCATTCACAGCCATTCTTAGAACCCATGGCAAATTATCTAAGATGGATGTGCTTTTCTTTCAATCCTCCACACCACTCTCCTTGACTTTGCCATGCAGCCCAAGTTCTCAGTTATTCCCTTTCAAATCTTTATCGTTAGAATCATGTCTCCCATTCCAAAAAGCCAGTCTTCCTCTGGAGCTTGAAACAGAATGCAGTAGTTTGACATCTCACTTTTAAGGAGTTACTAACCTTACCTCTATTAACATTGATCTGTTCACATTCTTTGCCTCACTAATTCAATTTCTTAGGATATAGAGAAAATAATAAAAACATTAGGAATGATTTAGGCATGAATTTTTCATCATATTATTTATGAGGATAAAATATTATAAATCAATATATGTTCAATAATAGGGAGAGGAAATGTTTAAATAGACTAGACTGTATCCCATTGAGGTGTGTTATAGGTAAAAATTCCTATGATTTCATGGTGCTTTAGTAACAAGAAAAATATTTGCTAAAATTTAAGTTAAGGGGGGGCTGGCACTGTGGTGTAGTGGGTTAAAGCCCTGGCCTGAAGCACCGGCATCCCATATGGACGCCTGTTCTAGTCCTGGCTGCTCCTCTTCTGATCCAGCTCTCAGCTATGGCCTGGGAAAGAAGTAGAAAATGACACAAGTCTTTGGGCCCCTGAACCCATGTGGGAGACCCAGAAGAAGCCCCTGGCTCCTGGCTCAGGATCGGTGCAGCTCCGGCCATTGCGGCCATCTGAGGAGTGAACCAGCGATGGAAGACTTCTCTCTCTCTCTCTCTTTCTCTCTACTTCTCTCTGTAACTCTGTCTTTCAAAGAAATAAAATAAATTTTAAAAAATTAAGTTAAAAAACTACAAGGTCAGGGACCTTGTGGTTCAGTAGTTATGTTGCTGCTTGTGATAACTACACCCATATAGTGGTTATAGCAGTTTCCATCTGCTCTGCTTCTAACCCAGCTTCTTGCTCATGTACTTAGGTCGCTGCCACCCACATGATAGACCTAGATTGAGTTGCAGTCTCCTGGATTTAGCCTACCCCAGATTTTGGTTTTGTGGATATATGGGAAGAGAATCAGCACAAGAAAGATCTCTTTCTGTGTCTGTGTATGTCACCTTCAAATAGAATGAAAATAAATAAAAACTTAAAAATAGTGAAGACAGAACATCAAAGAGCACATGGTAGATTATTAATCTTCTCTTATAAATTAAATATTTCTGCCCTCCACTCCTGTCTCCCTCCCCCCAATTCACGTGTTGATTCCCTAAGCTTCAATGTGGTGAAACTTGGAGATGGAGCCTCAAAAGAAGCAGTAAAATTCAATGAAGTCATAAGAATGGGGCTCTGAATCAATAGGATTAATGTTCTTCTTAGAGGAGACATCAGAACATATTCCCCTCTCTCTTCTCCTCTCTGTTTTAATCTCCATCTGCATATCTGTCTATGTCTATTTCTATGTGTATGTCTGTATCTGTCATCTCTATCACCTCATGTCTCTCCACATATGCACAAAGAAGTGAAGTGAGGAAGTGAGGACACAACAACAAGTAGGATGAGACTATTTGTAAACCAGGAACTACAAATTGTAGTACAGGTACTACAAATTGCTGGTATCATGATTTCTGATTTCTAGCTCAGAATACTGTGAAAAAAAAAATAAATTCTGTCCTCAGGTTACCCAGTCTCCAATAGCTTCTTAAGTAGATTGACAACTAGTTCACATTCTCATATTTGATACTGGAAGCTTAGGTTATGTTTGAGTGAGATTCAAGATTTGCAACATGTACTAATTTGAAATCTTCTGGAGCTGCCGATATATATTTTTGCAGATATGTTCAGGAAGGCACTGAGAGAGAGGCTTTACTTCCAGCTACCATCCAGTTTCCATCTCTCAATACAGTCTTTTTCCAAATTGATGTAGCAGAACAATAGCATCAAATAGTTATCTTGGACCAACTTTTATTGCATAATGGTATTGATGAAGTTGGGGTGCTGTCAGAGCTGGGAATGCATCCATTATGAATCTACTGGAGGACAGGCATAGCTTACCACTTACCTTTCTGCCACAAAGCTAAAAAATGTGAGGCAGGCAAAAAACAAAAGAGAGAGTAAACAAAGGAGAATGAGTTCATTTTTTATGTGATATTATTCTCTGCAGTTTTATGATTATGCTATTTTAGAAAATGTTTATACATTTAGTTTTATTTATTTCAAAGGCAGAGAGATAGAGAAAGGTGGGAACAAATACAGAGAGAGGGCTTCCATCTGCCAGTTCACTCTGCTAATGACCACAACAGCTGGGAGCAAGCTTTAAAATTCCAGTGAAGAACAAATAGGATATTTGAATAAGTTGAGTTTTTTCAATGCTTTTAAGTAGTATTTATTAAAATAATGTTATCAAGGTGAATTTTTAATTAGTCTATTATTTACAATCTCAATAAATATTCTGATGGGTCCAATTTTTAAGACAAGAATTAATAGGGATAACTTTCTATTTTAGCTATTAAAAAGGAGTTCAAAGCTTTGATAATTTGATAATATTGTAGGATCAGGCAAATGGACTGATTGAGGTAAACAGAAAGTTTAAGTGATAGACCAAACAAGATTCAATTGAAAGGTATTAGAGAGGGGCTGGTACTCCACAGCTCTGGCCATCCCATATGGGCGCACTGGTTCAAGTCTTGGCTGCTCCATTTCTGATCCAGCTTGCTGCTGATGGCTTGAGAAAGTAGTGGAAGATGGCCCAAGTGCTTTGGCCCCTGCACTCAAGTGGGAAACCTGGCAGAAGCTCTTGGCTCCCTGCTTTAAACAGGCCCAGCTCTGGCCATTGCAGCCATTTGCAGAGTGAATTAGCAAATGAAAGACCCCTCTCTCTTTCTCCCCGCCCCCACCCTGTAACTCTGCCTCGCAAATAAATAAATAAATCTTTTAAAAAAGTATTAGAGAAAGAAAAGATTATTTAATATGTGGTGTTGGGAAACTGGCGAAATAAATGGGGAAAATAAAAGTCGATTCTTTTTAAGCATTGCCTAAAAAGCTGGATGTAGATGGAGTAAATTTATAAGTAAGTGAAATAAGTTACACACAACCTTTCAATGCTGTACCCCTTTGCCCTAGGTGAGTTACACATAATAATGCCATAAATGTGTTGACCATGTGTTTTGTACTAGACACTGTGTCATGTTTTATGAGTTTCATTTCAAACTCATAAAAACCTAAGTATTAGATGATGTGATTCAATATTTACATTTGCAGATGGACAGTACTAGATCAAAAATTTAATAATAAAATAGTGTAAACCTGCAAGAAGTAGAACAGAGAGAAAAATCCAGACTCTTTGATGTCACTGTTGTTTTAAGGGGCAATAGAAATGTTTTAAATTAGACCTGCAAAGATGTAATTAAAAGTATTAACATGTGTGTGATGTGTAAGATATAGGTATAGAGACATGCACGAACTAGTCACAGATTAGAAAAATATTTGATGCAGCTTTTCTAACTTAAAATGTAATATTTAATCTTCATATTAGTAACTTTCTTTCATCTCACCATGAACCTATAAGACAGAATGATGCCTATGCCAACATACTAGTTTGCGAAAGTGCTAGACCTCATCACGTAGGAAGCCTATATAGATATCTGAATAAGACTAGCTATTTTCCAATTCCTGAAAAGCACCTTTTTTCCACCTAGAATGAATTCCCTCTCCTTTATCTGAAAAGTGCTATACAATGTCACTGGACTTCTTATCTGTGTATGATTTACATTATGTGAGAATTCTGACACTCTTCTTCCCAATTTACCCCTGCCTGTTGCAAATCTGATTTTATTCTGGGACTGCAATTCTCATCACAACATGCTATTATAGAGTAGCTCCCAGGCTGTAAACTTGTTATCAACTTAATTTTTTTTTTTTTTTTTTTTGATCCACCATCAGAGAGTTAGTCATACAGGCAGGCAGGCAGGCAGGCAGGAATTCTAGGGTTTAGTTTAACCACTAGAAGAGGTAACACTGGATTTTCTCTGGCAGTAGAATTGAGCATCTCTAGTAGTTGGCATTTAGCCACAGAGGAGAAAAGCATTAATAAAATACTCTTTATAAGTAAAATCTTCCCTCTAGTGAAAGTTACTTTCATGTCATCATTAGGTATTTCTCTGGTCTCCTAATATCTGATTCTCCATACTCACTTCTTTTTCCAACAAATATACAGTTCTATGTGGAAATTGCTTCTTTATATAAAATATGCACAATATCTAATATTTAAATTATCTACATAAATATAACTACCTGAGCTTATCTAAAAGATTTTATGTTTTTAGTTGAGTGCATTCCATAAGTTAAATTATATTTTATGCTGAGCTCTTAATAAAATATGTTTCATGTCAAAGTGAGTGCTGGAATTTTATTTTGGCCAATTAAAAACTGTTAGTAATGACTCCTAATCTTTTTAAATAATGTCTGTGTTAACACATAGCCATATGTGCTACTGATAGAGGGGCTGGCGCTGTGGCTTAGTGGGTAAAGCAGCTGCCTGCAGTGCCAGCATCCTATATTGGTGCCGGTTCAAGTCCCGGCTGCTCCACTTCCCATCCAGCTCTCTGCTATGGCCTGGGAAAGCAGTAGAGGATGGCCCAAGTCATTGGGCCCCTGCACCCATGTGGGAGACTCCGAAGAAGCTCCTGGCTCCTGCTTTTGTATTGTCACAGCTCCGGCCTTTGCGGCCATCTGGGGAGTGAACCGTGGATGGAAGACCACACTCTCTCTCTATGTAACTCTGACTTTCAAATAAATAAATAAATCTTTAAAAAAAATTGATGATAGAAAAAAAGCATACAAGTAAAACCAATTTTTTTTTCATTTTTCTGTTAAAGATAGTTCTATTTTAATTATTTCCAAAAGGCATAAACACAAGAATTCACTATATTACTTATTTTAGAATAGAGTCAAAAATTTTAAGTAAGTAAATGAGATTAAGTACTTCTGTAATAGCTATATGTAATGTGGCTATTTATATGTTGCCCTTTTAGCTTAAAAAGATATTAAGATAATTACTCTCCATAAAAGTTATCAATAGAGGTTTGAAAATCCACATAAATTTACTAAATATATCATTGTACCACTGTAAAGTTATATATTAGCATAATAAAATGTTCATTTTAAAATAAGAGAATTATAACTTACCGTTGGTTCTCAGAACAGTGAAGTATTTGTTTTACCTGTTGGAAGAAGGAAGGAAGGTGAAGAAAGAAAAGGTTTGAACTGTATATATATATTACACCTGTTTCCTGTTTTGGCAAATTCTTGTTGTGCAAGTAAATCTTGGTCAACAAGGTCTGAAACAGCATTTGTCATACTTATAATCTCATATTTCATTGCTGGTTGTCCAACTGTAATTCTGACACTATTTGTTGATTTCCTACAAGAGTTCCACAACTAAATTAATATGCCAAATATTACTATTTTATGTTTATTCTTTAGAGCTCATAAAATCTTACAATTTATTCATATTTGAAAATTCTTGACCAAATCATTCTCATCACAAATTTCAGAGTTAATTCTTTAAAACTAAGGTTAAGCTTATGCTTTTCATAATTTCTGGAGAACACTATGTTTTCTTATGTAACTCTAATACATTATTAACAATTTGATGTGCTTTGTTTTACAGAATAATTTGTTCTTTTATCTGTTTAAATACAAGTACATATTGGCTTTCAGAACATAATGGCAAGTGATCTGTAATTTGTCGGTCTCCTGTTTTAAGTTTTCCTGGAATTGTTTTTTTATTTTCTGATTGTAACAATTCAACATAACATTGATCTACATACATAATTATGATCATTTAAATCTGATAATTTATCAAAGTATTTAATTATTCCAGGTTTCTTTATATTTCTTAAAAAAAGAAGCTGGGGTAGGTCAATTATTTCATATTCACTTTCTCTCTAAAATGCAATAATATTAAATGTTCAGTTCTTATAAACAAAGGGGAATTTATTAATAAATTACAAGTAGCACAACTGTAGCACTGGGAGACATTTCTGACTGCCAAGCTAGCATACACCTTGTACCTTGTGGTGCTTTATTTGGAAATATTTGTTCATTTGCATGTTTATACTTAATTTTCTTGATTTGTTTGGCCAAAATATACAATAACAGACCAGTACCTTCTCAACAGATATATTATTTAATTATAGTTAATCATAAGTTACAGACCTAGATACTGCTTTAAAATAATTATTGAAAATGTTCTCTATATGGTACTTTAGATTTCAAGATTGCTATTACCATTTTTTTAGAAAGCTTTTATTTAATAAATATAAATTTCATACGTACAGCTTTAGGAATATAGTGATTCTTCCCCCTTTACCTACTCTCCCCACATACTCCCTTCCCACCTCCTACTCCCTCTTCCACCCCATTATTCATTAAGAATCTTTTTAAATTATCTTTATATGCAGAAGATCAACTATATACTAAGAAAAGATTTCAACAGTTCAAACCCACACAAACGAACTATAAAGTACTATTTGAAGACAACTTATATTTTCTATCTTAATTTCTCCAGGGAGGGGTCTATTACTAATGTTAAAGTTACTCTTTGTTTCCAGCTTCTTTACAAATATACTTGGAAGAGAAACAATGTCTATTGAATAAATGCTCATATTAGATATGTGTTGTATAATAGATTTATTGAGATAAAAAAATGTGATTCCATACACAATTCATTTTCACGAAGTGTCTTAGGCTAATAGAAAAAATCCTCTCTTTTTGGCTATTCTCACTATTAAATAATCGTTTATTTATTGTAACAAATCAATCTATTTCAATTTCCTTTTTCAGTAAATTATTTTATGGGTTAAAATTGCTTCAATGTTACTTCTTTTGTTATTATCCATCACACCATCAATTCAGAAATTTTCAAAATTAGAATTTTATTTACACCCACTATTCTACTTCAAACCTTAAAAATATTAGCACTAAACCAGTTCTGGAAATAAAATCTTAAGAACTGCAGCATCTGAGGTGCAATAAATACCAAAGTTCAGATTTCTGACAAATGATAATTAATTTAATCATTTGTTCATTAACTCTCCCCTTTCCATAGGAAATGTGTCCATAATCTGGATATGGACATAGGGTCACTGGCATTAGTTGTGAAACACATAGACATATAGAGATTAATACCATCTACTGTATTATTTTCAAATATCTGGGAGAAGGGTATTTGTGTCTTTGCTTAGACATACACACGCATAAATCTGTACATCTCAGAGATTATTCAGTGTTGCTGGAAAAACTATGAGAAAGGAGGATGAATCTTCTGTTGCTGGATGAAAAAAATTATAATTTGAGAATTCCTTGAGCAATAAAAGATCAGTAGCATAATCAATAACAACATATGTACCTTCACAAATAAATACAGCATAAACAGAACAGTGGTTGCATGTGAGAAAAGTATGAAAAAATAAAGCCAGCAATTGATAATGAATCACTTGCAAATAATATTTTTGGTAATGTTTTCCTATGAATCTTGGCAATATTTTCAAGTGAAGTTGACTGTAAATGGACAGCCAATGTGTACAGCTGCTCGTATTAGTGCAATCTTTTATCATGCTACGTATAAAATCAAATGTTATCCACCAAGGAGTGCTCATTAACCTGACCATGAAAATACATTTTATCTCACAAGGGATAAGAACTGTTTGTGTTAATGATGAGACTCAAAATGGTTGCTTTCTGTTCTTACTCATCTTTGCTTCTTTAGTAGACATTTTAAGATTTTTTTATCATGAAACAAGTTAAACTACACTCTCAAATTCTGTATTTGTATAAAATACTAATTGATTTCCATAAACTAAAATTGTTGGAGCAATCATAGTATTTTATATATGCATGAGAGTTATGCAAGCAAATTAGAATATTTCATTAAAAGCTTGGCTGTACATCATTTCAGAAGCCTGATTACATATGTATAGTTCTCAAAAATTCAAATATTAAATATTATATTGAAAATACTAACCAATTGTATTATTTGCCTTAAATTTTAGGGGTGGTGTATGTGAATGGGGATACACATGTTTTTTCTTTTTGTTTTTTTCTTTTTTATTAATGTATTTAATTTTATTTTATATAAGGAATACAAACTATATACATTTCATATATACAAATTTAGGAACAAAGTGATTCTTCACATCTCACCCTCCTTCCCACTTGCACTCCCACTCTTCTTCCTCTTCCCTCTCCTATCCCCATTCTCATTTCTTACAAAATAATAACTATTTTCAGTTAACTTTATACTCATAAGGTAGAGTTCAACTAATAGTATGAAAACAAAGAAAGCAAAACAAAACAACAACAAAACGTCATTCTTCAACAGTCAAGACAAAGGCTGTTCAAAATCATCAAAGTGTCAATTACACTCCAATAGATTACCTTTTAGGAACTATCTTAGTTGCCACAGATCAAAGAGAACATATGATATTTGTCTCTTTGGGACTGCTAATTTCACTAAGTGTAAACTTGATCTTAGCCAAAAGGCTAAGAAGCAATGATATCTATATCTATATCTATATCTATATCTATATCTATATCTATATCTATATCTATATCTATTTATATCCATAGATATATAAATATATCTATATTATATAGCCATATTATATATTAATATATAATATCTAATTATATTATATAATATATATTATACATTATATAATATGTATAAAATATATTATAATAAAGAATATTATATATCTCTATAATATTTATATATATAATATTTATATATTATAAATTTATATATAATATTTATATATTATAAATATATAATATTATATATTTATATAATATGGATATATAAATATATCTAATATTGTATGTAAATATTAGATATATTTATATATCCATATTATATACTTATATAATATAGATATATTAAATATTTATATAATATAGATATATTAAATATATTTATATATCTATATAATATAAATATATATAAACACATATATATTAGATATATCTATATATTTATATATCTATATTATATATTTATATATCTATAGATATAGATAGACAGCCTTGATGTCTCAAGTTGATGTGTTTGTTTAAAGAGAATAAATGTGAAAAAACAAATTGTTTCTTTAAATGAATGATACATTTCATTAAATTATTTTCTTTTTAGCTTGTTCCATTTCTTTATCTCCATCACTTTCTATTACTTAAGCCACAATTCAAATGCTATCCCCTATTGCTCAACTATATTTCTGTTTCTTCTCCATATTCCTATTATTTTCATCATGACATTTTATCGGGAGAAATATGAAGATTATTGGTAATAGAAAAGAACTTCTATTATACATATAAATACTTTCCTAGACCATAATAACCATCTATTTATAAAGCCCTTCATGATTGTACCATTCCTAATAGAAAAGAATATTTCTTCTATGATGACATTTCAGAACTCTGACAGGCCCAGAGGCCTCTAAAGTAACTCATCCATTAACTTTTTGAGGCTGGACATTCCATATGGTTGAAATACCATACACAACAGCAAGACATTCATCATCTTACTGGAAATGGATTAGTGTAGAATGGATGACAAAGATACACTGGTTAGTGGGTGGGTCAAAATATTGGACTTACATACATGCTTATCCTTTGATTCTGACTAGTTGAATCATTTACCTATATGAATAGTTTAACTAGCTCAGCAGGTTGTGGTCAAATAGGAAAACACTTTGGGAAGGAGGTGTTTTATAAATATGTAGTTTCAAATTAGATAATGTAGATATTTCTGGAAAAAGCTACAGAGCAGGAAACAATTCTATTCAAAGTAAAAATTATAGATAATTGACTTTTTCCTTAAAGAAAAAGTGAGGCATAAGAGAAAAATCTTATAGTGAGTAATACTCTTATTTTATCAAGGGGCAATACATTTTGTAGAATTTTAGGGAGAGATGATGTTTTGATTCTGCCATTTCTTCTTCTTTTTTTAAAAGATTCTATGCATTTGAGAGGTAGAGTTACAGACAGTGAGAGGGAGAGATGGAGAGAAAGGTCTTCTTTCTGTTGATTCACTCCCCAGATGGCCCCAACGGCTGGAGCTGCGCCGATCGGAGGCCAGGAGCCAGGTGCTTCTTCCTGGTCTCCGTATGGGTGCAGGGGCTCAAGGACCTGGGCCATCTTCCAAGGCTTTCCCAGGCCATAGCAGAGAGCTGGATTGGAAGAGGGGCAGCACGACTAGAACCGGTGCCCATATGGGATGCCAGCACCGCAGGCAGAGGATCAACCTACT